GATTACGGCAAACGTGACCTTTATCCCCTCAATGGAGCCCTTGATAAATAGATATCTGCCATTAGCGTCAGAGCATTGGTCCTGAACGTTGAAATGGCAGTTCTTATGAATTGCTATAGATTTAGCGGAAGGTGAATTACTAAGGTACCATTGGGAGAATAAATGAGTAGGCAGGCGGACGTTAGACGTCGGGGTGAAGTGTGTCTGTTGTAGCATGACTATGTGTGCTTTCAGGTGTTTAAGTTCAGACCATAACTTGCTGCGCTTGTGGGGGGAACCGAGGCCCCGAACGTTGTAGGACACTACATTAAGCGCCATCATGGTGAGAGAGCAGGTGGAAGCGGTGGAGGAGGTGGAGCGGAGCAAGGCACACGGACATCCAGCTGACCAGAGGGAATGGACCTAAGGAGAGGCAGGGGATACAAAAGAAACCAAAAATAAGTTGAACAACAAGGTATGTACAATGGAACAATCAGAACATGAATCGCTCTCCTAGCGGGCCACTGCACCCAACCGAGGTGGAGATGGCCCTCCAGGACAGCCATGTCAGAAATCTGACAGGTCTCAAGTATTGAGACAGGTCCTACTGGGGGAACAGGGTAGGACGCCATGGAGATCGAGGCTCCTATGAAAAAAGCAGGAGAGGTGGGGGCCCTATGCAACAGGTAAACTGAAAGTGAAAAAATAAAAAAAAATTTGAGCAGCATAATACAAGAAAAAGAAAACGGGTGCGGACATAGTCAGCGAAGTAAAACATATCAACTGCTTCTGGTAGCTCAATTAAAAAGCGGTATGCCATCCGACGAATGCCTTAAGGAGAATCTTCAGTCTGGAGAAAAGGGTGAGTCGTCAGGTTGGCTTCTTCGGTAGCCTGATCGCGGAGAAAGTTATCCAGCGATCCCCTCGGCTGTTTTGCGGTCTTCCCGGAGGCCTTCCGGCCCCCCATCAAGCTTCTTGGGCTGCCGGCAGGCTAAATCGGAGTCGGATGGGTGCGGATGCAGAGGGTCCGGACGGAGCTCGGCTTAGGTGCTACTCTCCGCCATCACGTCCAGGCCACGCCCCCGGGTTTAGATGTATTTTAATAGAAGTCTATGGTATTTTATGTCTTCCTCTTAGTGCTTTGCTAGTAAATGTAGACAACATTTTACAGATATTATGGCCACCTTTTATTGACCATATTCAAAGGTTGACCACAAATTTGGAAATTTCCGTATTGTTTCAGCTTCTGCTTTTGTCTACCTTTGTTGAAAGCATAAAGAGTAAAAACAATGGGGGGAATTTATCAAAACTGGAGCAGACATAATCTGGAGCAGTTGCCTATGGCAACCATTCAGCTTCTCTCTTCAGTTTGGTCAGTTAAGATTTGCAAATGAAAGAGAGAAGCTGATTGATTGCTATGCACGACTGCTCCAGATTTTGTCCGCTCCCGTTTTGATAAATTCCTCTTAGTTTATTTAGACTTTGGGCCCTATTTACAAATGTTCTTATGCAAGGTTCACATAACATTCATCGAGGATTCACACATTTTCTAATTGAATCCAGTTAGAAAATGCATGAATCCTAGGTGAAAGGTGTGAAAACATTTAGAAATAGATTTGGTTCTCTGCTTTTCAGTTTGTTAAATTGTTAGTGGACGCATTGTTAGTGGACGCAAATGTTCTGTATGTTCCCTTTGTGTAATCAATCATGCCTTTTTATTTTCAGGTAGTGAGATCAGGACAAAAGGTACTGGCTAAAAAGGCTGCCCAAAGTGAAGAGAAGAAAAGCGGAGGCTGGTTCGGAGGTTTCTGGGGGAGAAAGGATACCTCCTCTAAGAAAGAAGACTCTGGTGATCTTTCTGTTCCCGAAAGTAACTATTTTATTATTGTCAGTTGCAAAAAACAAATAACAATTCTGAGATGATTTCTGATTTCTTCCTAGAGCTATCGTTTACATGTTGCTCTGTTTCATAGTGCATCCAGTTAGTGCACTGTGTTGGTGTGTGTGTTGTGACAAAATGATACAGGTGTACATTTAATCGCAACGCAGAATATCACAACGCACAGCCATGCATTGCCACGCGCTGCCACACAGTTAAATGTTATTTTAAACAGAAAAATAAAAAAATTTAAGCACTTGGATGTATTCTAACAAAGCACCACGGCGCATGTGCATAGCGTACACCACAATATGGTGCATACTGTTGCACGGGGAAATATCAGGTGTCTAAACAGACACATGACATTTCCCTTTTGAAATAGAAAAATAAATTGAGGACACAGAGTCCTCAATCTCTTTTTCTGCAGCCTCTGTACTAAATGAAAGGAAAGCGCTCAGTACAGAGGCTTCCCATTCATTCAGAAGCTGGTGATGGTAAGATATTTACTATCATCCAGTTATGAATGGGGAGAAGCACCTACTAGTGACCGCTACTACCCATTCAGAAATGATGAATAAAGCGACCATGAGCTTATAGCAGAAGGGAGAAAGCCACCAACATAAGGCTTACTGAGCTGGCCAGCTTCAAGGCGTTGTGTTCTGCCATAAGCCTTACATCGGTGGCAAGGAAAAGGGTTAATTAATGATAGTAGATTTAAATTTAGACCTGTTTCAATGCAGGCTTATTAGTCATTGATGCTTTAAGAATGTACTACCCGTGTGTCTCTTTGTTTTCCAGATATCGACGACTTTATGACCCCAGAGGAAAAAAAGAAGCTCTTTACTGCAATTGGGTACAGTGAAAGCTCCTGCAATCTCAAATTGCCTAAAGCCGTAAGTTAATCTTTTTTTAATTCTACATGTAATGCTAATGAGTTCCTGTTAAAATTCATAATAAATAAATGCTGAAATGTATTTACACAAGCTGAAAAATGCAGCTACATTTGTTTATATGAGGAATGTTTAGGCAAGAGGAGCAGGTAAACAGGACCATTTCCTAGCATTTTGGTGCTATTACCAAACATAATTACACCATTGCTACCATAAGTTAACCTCTTGCCGTCCGCCCGTAGTAAAAAAACGGACGGACGGCACTGCAGCATCTGCGGGTTGCCGTCTCCAGACGGCAATTTTTTTCTGCTCGCGCGCGCCCCCTAGCGGGCACGCACGGGCAGAAAAGACCCGTCCAATGCGAACACCCGGTACCGGGTGTTTCACATATAGGCGATCAGCGGGTCCATAGCCAGCCGATCGCCTATATGTGCTCGTTCGCGGC